TTTCCCTTTTTTTTTGTTTGTTTATTTAATAGGTTTGCTTTTTCTAGATGGTTGTTATTGTTGAATGAACAGGTAGGTATAATTAAATCATCGCACATGTAGTAATTTATATTTTATTGCATGATAATTGCAAAATTCTTAGTTTAAAATTCAAAAAAAAAAAAAATTCTAAAAAAATTACAAACTTTGTATAAGAGAAGCATATTGAAGATTTAAATATATTATTCATATTTCATATGTAGTACTGATTTTTTTTTTTCATTTTTTTTGCCCCTTTCTGTCTATTTTTTTTTAAATGACAATTTTTACTTAATGATTAAACACCTTTTAAATTGTTTCCAAAAAAAAAAAAAAAAAAATGAGGAAAATAGCAATAGAGTGGGAATATTATAAAAGTTAATAATTATAATTGCCCAATTATTACATAATTGCTTTTTCTCCATTTTTTTTTTCTTTAATTTTAGTGAAATTATTTAATCAAAAATTGTGGACAAACTTGATTATCCTTTTAAAAAATGGGCAATTTTTGTTGTTTATTTCATTTCTTACTGCATCATTTTAAGTGCTTAAATAAATTTATTATTTAAAACAAGATTGTCATCATAGAATATCGAAATTTCAGTTTTTGACAAAATGCTTATTCGTTGACTAAATTTTTTTTTTTTATTTTCTTTTGATTCGGTTTATTTATTACGTTTCACTAAAATTACAGAATTAATATTAATTGATCAAAAAATATTTGTGCAAAATATGATCAATTATATTATTCAACAATTGAAAAAATACACAAGAAAGTCTACTTCTTTTTTTTTTTTGATGACCGATATTTCGGCTTGAATTTACTAAAATTACAGAATTAATATCAATTAATTATAATATTGTCATTGATTCATTCAACTTTCAGTTAAAATATTCATTTGCTAACTCAATAAAAGAACCATTTCTGGAAGAAATTAGGTAAGCAATTTTCGAAACCTTAAATTTTTTTCAAAAGAAATTCATATGCTAAATAATAATTAATTTAAATGAATATCAAATTGTAAGCTGAAAATGTTCTGTAACAGTGTACATCGTTCAATACAATTTAAATATTTAAACATTTTTTGATAAAAATTACTTAATTAAAGTTTAAATAAATTATTGCTTCGTTGACTAATTTATCCTATTCATTCCAAAATTTATTAATAAAATACTTTTAAAATTATTAATTTTTTGCTTGGACAAAAATTGAAATTTCGCCTTAAAGTAATTTATGATAGCAATTGATTATAATGATAATAATAGGAATGATTGTTTCACTTATCATAATTATTATGTTCAAAATAATCTTAGTTTATTAATATTATCATTAATATGTCCACAAAAAGGACCAATTATAATCGTTGATAATAATATCATTCATTAATCATTTTTACTTTGTTTTTTTATTTATGGCAAGAAATTTGAAAAATTTCAGCGGAAAATAATAAACATCACAAGTTAATCATAATTTCTTCTATGATCGTTGATAGATTTTATAAATTTCTCTCGAATAAACTAATTTTGTCATATTTGTTTAGTTTTAATTTGTTAAAAAAAAAATTAAAAAAAAAAAAAACGAAAGAATGTCCCTGTGTTTCATATGAAATTATAGTGCTGAATAATGTATAAAATTTTGTATTATCACTTTTGTTAATCAATTATTAAATATAATTGTCACCAATTAAGTTAACATTTCCTTTCTTCTTGCTCATTTCATCTCCGTTAGCTCTTTACACATTTCAATCGACGTACATTTTCTCTCTCTCTCTCTCTCTCTCCCTCTCAATTTTAATTTCTTCTTTTTCTCTTCATTTTCCTTTTCATACTTCATCATTGTCATTTCTCTACTAAAACCTTCTTCTAATCATTTTAAATAAACTCTTGGTTGTCATTTCTTGGTGACTTTTTTTCAAAAAAAAAAAAATGAAAATTTTATAATTCTTAAATTAAAATAAATAAATAAGGGGAAATATGATAAGAAACAAAATATAGTAATATCGAAATGTAATGCAAAAAAAAAAAAAAAAAATAAAATAGAATATGCAGAAAAGGATAAATAAGAGTGTTGAATAGAATATTAGTAATTAAAATGAGAACAATAGCTTCGTTAAGCTAAATTGTCTTGGGAATTTATATTAAATAAAGTTTGTCATCGAATATTTTTATTATGTCACTTACGTCCGTCAAATTTAATCAACTATTATTTCACTTTTACATTATGTTAATTCCTTTTTTTTTGTTGTTGTTTCAATCGTATTTATTGGAATGATTTTACACATTGATAAAGCAGTGATAACGATGAGCGCTTAGTGTGAAAACAAAAAATGAAAAAATTTGCAATATGGAATATTACTGAAGTGATTGGATTACTGTATGTATGATAATAGCTTCAGTTTATAATTGTTTTATCAGATAAGCTATCAGTTCATGTTTTGAACTGAACGAGCAGCACAACAACATTTCAAACTGTTTAACAAATTCAATGTTTTAGCATGATGCAAATGATGATGACAATTCTTTTTTATTAGCATTAAATGCATGAGAATATGATGGATGGATAAGAGCATAAGAAGTTGATATGAAATAATTTTATCGCTTAAATTTATTGGAAAATTTTATTTTTAAATTCAAATATTGTGCTAAATTCGTAAGTTCAGAATATGAAATTTTAGAAAACATATATAAATTTCATGCTTTTTTTTTTTTTTTTTTTTGAATACTTAAAGATAGATTGTAAAAAGAGCAAATGTAATTTTTTTTCCAAAAAAAAAAAAAAGTTTATTTCAGCTAAACATTGTATTGTTATAACTGTAATTTTATCACTTATTTTTTCCTTTTTTTTACCAAAAAATAAAAAATAAATAAACAAATTGCGTAAATTTCAAACTGTTCAAATATCTATGTTTGACTTAAATTAAAAAGGTTTTTTTTTTTTTTATTATTAAATTTGCAAAAGAATATGTTATGGTATGTTATGCGATTTATGTTATTGTTAATAAATTGTATTCGAATTATACGTTTTGCAAATAATAATCATTTTGTTTACCAATGCGATTTTCTCATTGAATTATATCCCTTTGTAAACATAATATATCCCTAATATGTTATTGCTAAAATTTGTAATTAAATAGATAACTAGCACTCTTTAAAATATTTTCATTCTCAACTTGACACAAGTTTCATTCTATTAGCAAGCATTTGTGATTATAATCTAATTTTAGGATTTTATTTCAATTTCATTTACTTAAACAATTTTTAATTCAATTTTCGCTAAAAGCAAGCTTCAAAAAATGGAATTTATTGACAATATATAATTGATGAAATTTACTGATTTAAAAAAAAAATTTTTTTCAAATAAATGAAAGGTTAGCATTGTCTGGCTTCTTCTTTTCGGCAATTTCTCATTCATTTCCTAAGTATTTCATACAATCCTAATTGCTTCTTTCTGTTTTTTTTTTTTTTTTTGTTACGGAATAAAACAAAATATTCGGAAAGAATATCTTATTTATTTCGTATAGATCTAATTGTTCTTTGCAATGAAATAAATTGCTTTATTTAATTGAAAAGAAAAGTGAATTTATTTCGGAAATAATTTCAAAAAATTTTGATAGCTAATTCTTTTCATAATTTATAAGTTCATTTCAATCAACAATCACGTACGGTTACTTTTATCATACATACGCTTATACTTACGCTATTTTGAGTTGAAATAGTTATGAAAAAAGTTTACGTGAAGTATATCCTTTTCCATTTTCATTTAGCAATGAATCGCTTATTTTTGTTCAATTTATTTCGTAAAAGAAAATGAATTATTTCAAAAAAAAAAGTGTCACATATCGAGTCACAAATCGTCTATGAATAAATTGTCGTGAAATAATCGCCGGAAAGATTCAAAGTTGTCGTCATCACTATTCCGGAAATCTATGGTTCTTTTTTCCCTGATACGCTAATATCTGTTTAATTTTCTCTAATTTATAAATTCTATCTCACTTTTTTTTCATTGTTTTTGAAAATTTATAAGTAAAAACTAGCCGATCCTTACTATTTTATTTAATTTTAATAATTTCTAAGTATTAATTATTATTATTTATAAATTTTTCACTTTTTCAACAACATAATTCTACATAAATTCATTAGTAATAATCTGAATAATTTATCATAATAAAACATATCAATGCGTTTTTCTTGAATCTTCATAATGTTAACGATAAGATGTTAAATTATATGCAAAAATAATAAATTTCAAATGATTTTATATGTGATATTAATTTCTCTGATGGCAAATATTAAGATTATTCAAATGATAATAATATGATAACATATATCACATCAAATTATGTATACTAATTTTTTCAATAATTTTCATCAAAATAACAATAAATGAATCCTGTTTTTAATTAACTGTCTGGTTAGTTCATTGAAAATTTGATTAGTTCCTTGTTAAATTTCTTCAACATTATAACTACTTCATATTTTTTTTTTTTTGCACAATATTTTTTTCCAATAATAATTAATATAATAATGACAATAATAATTGATAATTATTTAATATATATGTTAATAAAATATTTCACATTTTTGAACATTTTTGAATGAATGAATATTTCTACGATATTAATTTTAAATATGCATAGTATTCCTATATGATAAGGTAAAAATATGAAATTAATTGCTATAAATTTCAATTAATTGAAAATTTTCATTCATTTCTTTGATAAACGAACAATGAAATATCTTTTATTTGGCTGATTGTATAAACATACAAAATTGGCAATCTTTCTCGTTCACAAATCACATATTGACCTAGATGATATTGTATTTCATTAAATTTACAATGGTTGAATTTTATACCATTGCATAAATTATACATACTTTTTCTATTATACTATTTACCTGTGCATTATTTATTAATATATCACATAGAACTATGATATTATTTCATAAATTTATTTATTAAAATTTTGAAAATGTCGCATACATTAATAACACTTTAAAATTATTGCAAATGTATTGTAATGTGCTGAAAAAAAAAATTTTCATTTAATTCCTAAAATAATCATTTTATTATTGTTTCTCTTTAAAATATAATTTGTCTATTTTTTTTTTCTTTTCTTTCTTTCTCTCTCTTAAAATAATTATTGCAAAAAATTTGAATTTGTTTTAAAAACAAAAATAATAGCAATCAGAAAGACTGTCAATGTTTCATTCTTCGATAACGAATGATATTGCAAAAGTTTGATGCTCATTTTTTTTTTTTTTTTAATAATAAATAATATTATTTATTGTCAATGAAAAATTTTTTATTATAAATTTCATTATTAGAAAAATATTGAATGCATATATGATGATTAAAATTTAATGTCATAATAAAACCCATTACCTGAAAAAATTCTCGAGTGGGCGTATATGTGACAGCTAAAATTTAAGACAATCAAAAGAAGTAATTTTTTTTTGGGTTTTTTTTTTTATGAAACAGTCTGATTTTTTACACTCTATGATACTACAATTGTTGTAAATTTTATATTTCTTTTCAAATTTCCCTTATTAAAATTGTTTTTGCTAAACAAGAAAAGGAGAAGAAAAAAAAAACGAAAGAAAAATATGCTTCAAAATAATTCTAACAAGTTAAATTTCAATTAACAGTTTTTAATGACTAGAAGTTTAACAGTTTTATTTTTAATTAAAATAAATTCAAACTATCTGAGATTGATATTTAGTTTGATTCAAATTAAATGTAATTCGTCCATCCATACCTTTTTATAATGCATTTGTTTGTCTAGTGATTGTACAGTTGACAGTTAATACGACAAATGGGAAAAGCTTAGCAATAGTGTTTTATGATTATTGTTGTCTAGCAACCTTACACAATTCTTTTTTTTTTTTTCATTTCAATAATTGTTGATAAAATTCAAAAGTTACCTTGCAAAGCTCATTTAATCACTTGCAAAAGTATGCACAGAAGCAGTCAATGTTAACTTATCATTTTACAAATATCACAAATAATTGATTTAGTATTATTATCATTATTATTATTATTATTATTATTATTATTATTATTATTATTATTATTATTATTATTATTATTATTATTATTATTATTAACAACAAATGTTTGCTCATATTTTTAATTCGTTTATAATTAAATAATATTTACACATAAATTAATGACATACGCAAAAATATATTAAAATTTTTTCAGCCATTTAATTCTAAAAGATAGCAATTTTTGTTGAAATACAAATTGATTATCAAATTGTTATTATAATCAATTAAAGCGTAAATGTAATAGATCATCTAATCAAATGATTAAAAATTTCATTTTTGATTAATTATTTTTTTTGCTCTTATTTCAGTTTTTTTTTCTTCCATTTTTTTGTTGATTAAAAATTTAATAAAAATGAAATGAAAAGATGGGAGAGAGAGAGAGAGAGAGAGAGAGAGAGAAATGCTATGAACAAATTACACAATGTTAGTTGAATTTATGCAAAATGTTTATTTAGATTTTTTTTTTTTGGATAATATAACTTGTTGTCCAACATTCTTCCTTTTTCCTTCTTTTTTTTTTTTTAAATTTCTTTATCGTTTTTTTTTTTTTTTTTAGTTCTAACTTCCTTTCCATTCATCCTCCTTTATTCATTCATTCTTATTGTCCTTTTTCATTTTTCTTTTTTTTTGTCTTTCTTTAGTTCGTTTTTTTCTCATTGAATTAAAATAAAAAATTTGAAAGCATATCAAAGTTGCATGAAAAAGAAATATTTCTACTTTATCAATTTGTTTCTTTTAATTTCCTGGCGTGAAAAGTTATTAAATATCAGAAAATATTGCTTTTTCACAATTTTTAACAAGAAAAAGAATTTCGTGCTTCTTTTCTTTACTAAAAAAAAAAAAAGAATTTTTTTTAAAAGCTTAATTCTAATGATTAAGTAAGTGATGATTAATTGATTTATTTTAAATTGTTTTAATTAATTATTATTTATGAAATCAAAATGATTTGACAGCAGTTTGCTTCACTTTTTAACACTCTTATTATTGCTTTATCATTATTTAAATTATCAATTTTAATGCAATTCAAAATTTTATGGTTGAGCAATCTCTTCGTTTCTTTTTTTTAATTGTATTTTTTTTTTTTTTTTAAGAGAAAAAGAAAGACTATGTTAGGAATTAAAACAGCATAATTATAGCACAATCAAGATAATTGAGAGAAGATCCGATTACTTTCATTTGAAATCATGAAATATTTACTGATAAAGAAGCTCATTCTAATCTTTCATTTTCAATTCATTTCCAATTTTGAATTAATGTTGTCATATAACATTTCTTTAATGTCGTTTTTATCTCATAAATTCTTACTTCAAATTTTTTTCTTATCAAAAAAAAAAAAAAAAACTTATTATTATGTATCAAATGATCAACATTTAAATAAAATTTTTAAAATGAAAAGTTTTCTGCTAAGAATTGTACCTTACTTATGTCAACGAGTTTTTTTTTTTTTTTTGTCACACCAATAATCATAATACATTCATTATTTTTATTCGTAAATTTTCTGTCAAGGACTATACACTCATTATTAATGTCAAATGAAAGAAAAAGCAATAATAACGTTGATATGTGACATTTTATTGTTAAGTACGACTAAAATATAAGTTAAGAAAATGATATGTTTTAATAAAAAAATAAAATATCAAAATCAGTATTTTTTTGATTATTAGTTGAAATATATTTATAAGTAATAAAAATATTAGATGTTGTAAAAGAAAATTTTTTTTTTCTTTAAAAACATCCAACTGTTTCTGAAAAAAAAAAAAAAAAAAGGCAAAACAAATCAAAGGCTTATCAAATCGTTTAAATTTATTCCTTTTTCCAGGAAATAGTTGATATTTGAAATTTTGCGATTTTTTAATTTCAATTAAATTATTTCTAACAAAAAAAAAAAAAAAAATTTCAATGATAACAACTTTGGCTTAGCATTGTATTATTTCCTTTTTTTTTTTTTTTTTTTTGAATAATTGATTTTGCAAGATTTTCAATTATAATCACCAACAAATTAGTCTTTTATTATGAATAGAAGGAAGAAAAGGAAGAGAGAGAGAGAGGGACAAAGAGGGAGAGAGAGAGGAGCTGAAAAGCGGAAAAAAGAACAAAAAACTGAATCCGTAATCTAAAAATAAATCCGTTTCACTGAATTTAATGCTATCTATTCTATTATATTTTGTTTCTATATTTTGTATTCTATCATTTTTTCGTCATCTTTTTTTTTCCTCCTCTAAAAATTTCAGTTTACTTTAAAAAATTCTTCTACAGAAAGATACATGCAATAATTTTGTGCAATACATTAGAAATTGATTCCTTTGGTATCATCAAATTAATTATTTCATTTTTTTTTTCAATTAAATTTTCTAAACAGAATGATGTGTATCATTAATCATTGTGATTTATCATAGCATTTTTAAGTGCACCTTTTTCAGCGTGTAAAATCTATATAAATGTTATCGTTGTATTATTTCGAGGGTCAAAAGTTTGTCAATAACTTTCCCATTCATATCAAAAAAAAAAAAAAAATAGCGGTAAAGTTTTACTAAAATAAAAAAATCTATTGATTAATAAAGTAATCGTAATTATCTCAAAAACTTCTAACTTATATCTTCTTTGTATATTCTTTGATTTATTATTATCGTTTTTTATCTGATTTCATTTAGTAATTACCTAATTTTTTTTTTTTTTTTTGTCTCTTAAATTATATCAAAATTACAACAAACACAGAAATTTATTATTGATACAATTTTTTTTTTAAAAGAAAATTTCATTGTAGTCCCTTTGTGTAAGCTAAAAAAAGGGATGTTTTGGTATAATTTAAGAGACAAACAAGTGAAAATCACTGAGTAAAAAGCAGAACATGGATAAGCGATAATGCATGACGTGTATGTGAGCGTATGTGTGTATACATGTCGTGTGTGTGGTGTGTGTGTGTGTGTGTGTGTGTGTGTGTGTGTGTGTGTGTGTGTGTGTGTGTGTGTGTATCAGTGTATATGGAAAAGCTTTTCATCAAATCCGACCTGAACAGCTCATCATTGTGCTGAATTAGTGACAGAGGCTGCAATATCAGTATCGAGCCATGACTATAGGGTGTATTCCCGAAAGTAGGCATTACTGCTGCTTTGTTGGTGGCTATAGCTGAACGGTGCGGAATCATCAATAGCCTAATGAGAGGATGTATGACGGCTGCTTTGATGGCTAGCAGTTTTTCCTGAACACTTGTTCCGCATGCTCCTTGCATGTCATCTCTTCAAACAATCCTTTTCATTATTTCCTCTCTTTTCCATTAAACTATCCTCTTATTCAACTTTTTCTAAGGTCTCATAAGGTTTTCTTACTAAGTGATAATAATAATAACAATAACAACAGTGACAATAGTAATTAACAATAATAATAATAGGTAGTAAAATAATGACAATGATAATCGTATTCATGACAATGATTAATAATAAATAAACAATGATAACTGCTACTACCAATATTACTGCTAATAATATTATCATTATAACTGTTACTAATTTGTTATCACCGTCAGTATCACCAACATCACTGATATCAACCAGCATCACTAAGTAATGTTACGAATAATGATCGTTACCATATCAGCACTTACTATTCCAAAGATGAATTTCGTCCGTCATCAATGTCTGAACTGTCATCACTATCAATGTAACGGAAACGAGTTTGTAGTGATAAGAAGGAAGAAAAGTGGGATTAGGAAGAGGTAGGAAGGAAAGAATAATAATCGAATGATAATAGTAAAATGCTGTAGAAATTGTTCATTTGTTGTGATATAAATGAAATAAAACTAATCATTAGTGTAGATAAGACATAGCATTAAATATTAACTGAAGTAAATAGTCTAAGTGTCATTTCAGTGTCGCAAAATTATGCGTTTTACGGTTTTATTGCTATTCTCTGATCTCTCTTATCATTAATTATACCAAAACTAGTTAGCACAATTGGTATGGTTATTTCTGATTACTGATAAATAATTTTTATTATTACTAATATTATATTGTCATTATTATTACCGTTATTATTATTATTATTATTATTAATTATTGTTATTAGTCATTATCATTGGTCATAATCATTATTATTTTTATTATATTGTTATCACTTTTATTCTTATTTATTATTAATTATCATTATTATTATTTTCATACTATTATAATATTGTTATCATTACTGCTTTCACCATTATTATGAGTTGTCATTATTACTCTTGTTATTATTTATTTATTATTATTATTGCTATTGTTATTATTATTTTCTTTATTATTATTAATTATTATCATTGTTATTATATTCCATTATTATAAGAATGTTTTAAGGATATTTTTGGTTTGCTATCGGCATTGCTTATAATTCTACCCTAAGGCTCTCAAAATTTAGTAAGGCGTGAATGCTTATACAATTCATCAAATGGCTAAAATTGATGATTATAAAAACTTTATTGGTTTTTAAATCTCTTAACCAAATACAAATATTAGATTAACATTTGCTCGATCCAAACAATTCTAATTATTATCAGATATTATCATATCCTCTTCATTTAAATTTCACTCATTTGCAATATTAAAAACACACAGAAATCGGTGATGAAAGCAGTCATCACTGTCACATTACTTTTCTCATTTATTCAACAAATTTGAAAAATTTTTCATCTTTTTTAATCCTCTTAGCTTTCTATTTTTTTATTTGCAAAACGACTGTTAACTTCTTAGATAAATCATACCGAGGTGTAAATATAAACGAATAAATCAAATGAATATATATATGTGTATCTATTGCCTTATATCGTAATTTCAATTTTGTCTTAGCATTTTTTTTTTTTTTTTGCAAAATTTGAGTTTAAAATTAGTCATTTCATTTTCACTTTTCTGAAATGGTCGTTATTTATTGAAGTTAGAATGATTTTACCCAAATTGTTTGTCTATGTTACAATTACTAATCATTCAGTTCATTTCTAAAATAACACTTACTTCTTTATTATAAAATTAACTGAACATTTTTGAAAAAATTATGATTTTGCATTTTTACCGATAAATTTAAAATGTTATCTGTCACTGATGAGGAATGAATATGGGTGATGAAAACATTTCTAGAAAAAGTTTGAAAATGTATTTCCTAGAAACAAGTGATCAAAGTAGAGTAACTAAGAAAATTGTTTATTATTTAGTGATAATGATTTATCAGTGATGGAATGAAATATTATTTTCTATTCCAGTGTGTTATGGTATTTACATCATTCCATTTTTTTTTTTTTCATTTTAAATTTGTATTTTCCAGTAAGATATTTGATGGAAAAATGATCAGAAATGAAAATGTAAAACTTATATGAGTAAATTTTAAGAACGAAAGAAAAAAAAGTGTCCTTTTCTGCTGAATTTACTATCATTAGTACAATTTTCCGAAAATGGCAGTTCGTAGTTTAATTTTTCTCGAGTCATTTCAAAGTATTATAGTGACTGGATGTTTGATAGAGTTAAGGTTAAAGGTTAAAACAGTAAATTAGCCTATTTTATTCCAATTTTAAATTTAGGCAAAAACGAACCATTTTTAGGAATATATAGCAAAAAAAGTATTATTTGTTCTTTTTTCTATCAAAAGAGGATTGTCATTTTTTCATTTTTAAAATTGGTACTACATTTTTCTTTCTATCGTAATTCTGTCTTTCTTTTAGATTAAATAGCTTTTTTTTTTTCGAATTTCCGAAAATATAATTTTTTTTTCAATAAATTTATTCATAAATAATCAAAAATGATTATAAGAATTTTCAAAATATCTAAATGTATTATTAAAAATTAATTTGCATAGTTATTTCAAGCTTAGCAATTATTTTCTGCTAACAATTCATCATTTAAAATTGCTAAGCTTTCTCATTCATTAAACAATTTTTCTTTTGCTGGCCCAAAAAAATTATCCAAATACATTTGGACATTAAGCAGGTCAATTTCAAAGTTTTAGTAAAATATCATATTTTTTAAAATTTTCAAAATACAATCTTTGGTATAGTGATAACTCTGATTTTTTTTTTTTTGTTTATAAATTATTTTGCATGTTAATAACTTCTTGTGGACAAATAGTACGACAATATCAAAGACATATGTGTTTAATCTATAAATATTATTATGAATTTAATTACTATTAATTTTTCTTTAAACATTTTATCCATTTATTTACAAATTTCAAAATTGCAAAATGATAGTTATTATAATATTTGGTTTCGGACTATTAAATTGTTCCAACTTCTCTCAATCTTCCTTACAATATCTTTTATTCATATTGCAAAAGTTAGCTTTTTTTTTTTTATTTCTAATAATTAATGCTAAATAATTAATACAATATTGCTTCTATTTTATCGAAAAAATTTACTATGCAAATAACAATAGCAGTTATTGTCTCAGTATTTATCAATTCAATTTTTCTTAACTCAATTTTTTTTTTTACTTTACCTTCCATTTTTTTCCCTTTTAGTCTCACTGAACACAACTTTAGCAAAAATATTAATTTTTCACATATAATCATTTTTTTTTTCTTTTATTAAATGTAAAGAATTATAAGTAATATCGAAAAACAAAAGATTTTTTGCAGAAGTACCAATAATTACTATTAGCTTATCATCGATATGTATGTACGAAAATTTGATTCTTGCATGAATATATTTGTAAATAAGCAAATATGATTAGGATTAATGGAAATAACTATAATCCATTTAAAGATATCAATGCTTCCGTGTATTTTTGACGTGTATGTATGTGCATGCACACGTTTGTCTGTTTGTGTATTTTGTTTATATATATAAATATTCGTAAACAATTTATTAAGTCATTCATATTCAGTGATTGCTTATATCGTAATTAAGTCAATTTTTATATATTTTCCGGAATTTTTTTTCCGGAAATTTGTTTTTTGCCTCCGTACCTCATAATTAACTGATGATTTTTTTTTCTTTCTCGAAAAACGATTGTTCTTTCTTTATTTTTTTTTTTATTTCAGTTATCTTTCATAATAAGTTTTTCTTTATTTATACAATAAATATTGTTTAAGTAATAATTACTTCGTAAAGAAGCATTTACTTAATAACGTTTGCTTAGTATTTTTGATAAACATTGCTCATCTTATTTACTTAGCAAAAATTTATTTGTCTGATTTATGTGTTATGCGATAAATTTCGTGAATATCACGTGAATCATAAGTTGCTGATAACGAATATTGGCTAATCACGAAATCAATAATTGATCATGGATAATCCTAATTCTTTCATCTTTTTTTTTTTTTTTTCACTCAACAATCAAACTTTACGAGATGAAATTAAATGAAATAATTTAGTGGTATTCTCGTTCAAATGATTAACACATCTATTAGCACTTATTAGTGTGCAAGTATTTTATTAAATATTTGAATGATAATATGTCAAATTAAAGTGAATCATTCTCGAGGACTTTAAAATATCGATTTTCAACTCAATACACTACTCCAATGTAAACTGTATAGCTTATGCAGTGAAAAATAATAAATTGGATCAATAAGCAGATAAAATGATCGATCTATGATCATGTTTGAAGGAAACTATTTGTAAACATTACACCAAATAATTCAGTGATCTTTGTGATATGATAAAAGAAATACTAAGGAAGGAAGAAAAAAAAAAAAACGATGTCTGGCTTCTTTTTAATATCATAAATTTTATATATAATTAAAAAATAATTCAAGCATCTTACTTGAAATTTAGGAAAAGAAAAACGATCCCAAAATGGTCAAAAAACATATTACTAAAAATTGAGGAAAAGAAAAAGAATTTGGAATGATTTCAAATTGTTTTATTTTATTCTTCAAAACATTCATGCAATCAATCTCTATTATATTTGCAATGCATTTAAGCTGAAAATTTTCATCTTCATTTTTCTTTTCGATTTTTTTTTCCTTTTTTCGTTGACAAAAATGAATAATGCAATTTTATACTGATTGCATACTATCAAAAAAGTTTTAGCGATTATTTCTAAGTTTAAATATTTGAATAGAATTGAAATAATAATAATGAAATTGTAAATATGTTACATATGTACATATATCATTTGTTTGTCGCTGATGCTTGTCAGCCTTGTCAACCTTATGTGTCATTTGTTGTCATAAAATGCTTTTTCTCATTTCCTTTTTTCTTTGTTTTTTTTCCCTTTCTTCTAAAAAAAAAAAAAAAAAAATAATAATATTCATAAGCTTTCAATGCAAAAG